ATATATATCTATGTAGATAGATATATAGATATATATATCTACCCAACCTAAAAAAATACATAGAACAACTGGAAAAAAAAAGAAAAGAAGGGAACTATACTATAGCCAGACTTGGAGAACTAATTCATTCTGGTTTTAAAATTTTTGAAGAAGAAAATAACACTTGGATTGTAATCATCCAGTTTGTCCCAGGGTATTAGCGACAGAGAGGTTTCTGTATGTGAAGAACATGAAACTAGTTACTTTCAATTGGAGTTCCACTTTATTAATCCCAGTAAGGAAAGAAAACTTCTCTGTTACTCAACCCCAGAGTATGTTTTTCTACAAAATTGACGCAGTGTCAATGCATTTATCTTTTCATGAATGCTTTATCCCAGCCTCAGTAATGTGCTATGTAGCACTGACAGTTTTTAAGGTAATAAATATCTACTGTGCCAACAAGCTGAGTGATTGACTCAAAAGTGTGGCGTTTTTACTTAATCATGATCCCATACGTTTCTTTTACTCTAATTACTAACTTTATACAGCATTGAAAACAAATTATTAAGAGCGTACACAATTATTCAGAGTATGAAATATGCAGATATGCTAGCATGTTGTAGGGCAAACCTGGGCAAGACTATTCAGCATGCATAAGTGTCATAGCTGGAAGGATAGCTTCTGAAGCCAGAGAGCTGTGGATTTTGAACTTGACGGTCCTATTCTCTTGACTGAATAGACATATGATCATCCTCTCAGAGGAAGACAGAATCTCTCAGTCCTTTTGTAGGCATATCTACGAGTGTGTGTGTGTGTGTGTGTGTGTGTGTGTGTTTGTACAAAAGAGAAATAGTGAGGCAGTGTTTGTAACAAAAACTAATAAAAAATGAGAAACTTTGCTGGGTGCCGTGGCTCACGCCTGTAATCCTAGAATGTTGGGAGGCCGAGACAGGTGGATCATGAGGTCAGGAGTTCAAGACCAGCCTTGCCAAGATGGTAAAACCCCGTTTCTACTAAAAATACAAAAGTCAGTCAGGGGTGTTGGTGGGCGCCTGTAATCACACCTACTCGGGAGGCTGAGGCAGGAGAATCGCTTGAACCCGGGAGTCAGAGGTTGAAGTAAGCCGAGATCGCACCATTACTTTCCAGCCTGGGTGACAGAGTGAGACTCTCTCAAAAACAAACAAACAAACAAAGAAGACAAACAGAACTGATATTTGATTAATTACTTTACAATTCTAAAATTGAAAATCATCCACATTGTGTGTTCTAGAAAGATTTCCTGCATTATGACAGAATTGCAACTGTTACAAACCTCTTCCAGTATGCCCACACAGATATTGGAAAATCCCCAAAATGATGCCATATATTATACTTGCCTGTATTGTTTATTGTGGTAAATGTCATGAGAAATACAAGATGCTTGTACTTATGTGATATTAGCAAAAGGGTTCATTGATTTGTCATAGATTATTGTTCTCTGTGCAACAAATTCAGACCAACATCTAAATAGCAACACACTGTTTAAAGATTAAAAATGCCCAGAATATGTGACCGTTCATGAAACAGTAATTTCCAAAATTCCCCAAGCTGGGATTCTTTTCATTCTCTCTCTCTTCCTCTCTCTCTCTGTTTCTTGGAGATAAAGAGCAGTCTCAAATTAGAGACATGTTCTTTTTGAGTATACTATTACTTGCAGCACTCTCAATTGTGTGAAACCACGAGACCACATCTTTGTGGACAGAGCAACAAAAGGTATGAAAAGTTGTCTTTGTAAATATGGCTAAGAATTTGAAGGGTACTTGTGGCATGACCTAGCTATACTTTGCTAATTGTTTTATAATTGGAAATGGCAATCTATTATACCACTGCCATATCCCTGTACAGATTTTTGTACTGGCAATTAGAGTCCTGCTGTAATCAATTTCTAAAGTGCGGAAATGGCTTTGAATAGAGGTCGAAAGGATTTTCAGAAACAATATAAAAAAGCGTAGATTGTCTTGAAGAGACTGTTGTTTAAAAACTATGCCAGTGAAGGCACATTTTAGTTTTACCCATGAATGACATCTCATCTAAATGAGGCTTCTAAGATACATTTTTATAAAATTTGTTGAAAATGGTTATCAGTTCTGATCCCACCACCCCTTATCCACAGAATAGTTATGATCAGCTGATATAGACAAAGAGTTATTCATTTTCCCTCATATGCTCCTTTGACAACTGATGTTTGGAAAAATTAAACTCATGTAGCTGAGGTCTTTGAAAAACTCTTCAGTGAGATTGACTGGCTTAAAACTGGAACAATATACAGGTTAGGGAGGGGAGGAGTGCCACAGATCACTTCCCTCTCAATCCTTTAAGGATTCTATGGGAATTAGCATGTGCTCTCTTTGGGTACAAACAAAACTCCTGGGAGGGGGAATTGGAGCCTGTTTTGCATTCAAAACGTTGCAAATAGCCTGAAGAAAGTGGTGGTTTTCTTTTCCATATTCTATCTTAGGCTAAATACAGTGTAACAATTGAATATACCTGGGGTGGAAAACTGACCTAAGTGCTATGCCATACAATGGTGGCTTTCAAATTGTGGTAAGTATCAGATTCAGGAGATTCCCAGGTCAAGCCTAGAACCAAAGAAGCATACAAAACATCACAGGTGATACAGGTACCCATAAAAAGCTTGAGGACCACCAGTCTCCTGCAATGTTAATAGACGCTCCATGAAAATATGGCTTTGTGGTCAAATAAGTTTGTCTCAGCATTTGTAAAAGTAAATAGACTTTTTTAACATAGGACTTTTCAGTCCTATGTTAATCTGCTAATGCACACTAATCCTGAAGAGAGGAATAGTGTATGCCAGTGTGGTATAGTTTGGTTCTGTGTCCCCACCTAAATATCATTTAGAATTGTAATTCAAATATGCTGAGGGAGGGAACTGGTGGGAGGTGATTGGATCCTCAGGGCAGTTTCCCCATGCTGTTCTCATGATAGTGAGGGAGTTCTCACTAAATCTGATTGTTTGATAAGTGTCTGGCGCTTCCTTGTTCTCTCTCCTGCTGCTATGTGAAGAAGGTCCTTCGTCTTCTGTCAGGATTGTAAGTTTCCTGAGGACTCCTCAACCATGCAGAACTGCAAGTCAATTAAGCCTCATTCCTTTATACCAGTGTGAGAACGAACTAATATCAGTGGTTCTCAAAGTCACAAGTACCAGCAGCCTCAGCATCACCTAGAAACTTGTTAGAAATGCCAAGATTTGGGCCTACACAAGACCCACTCAATTGGAAACTCTGAAGGTGAGGTCCAGTGAACTGAGTCTTATAAGCCTTCCAAGTGATTCTGATGTGAGCTAATATCTGAGACCTAATATTATTTGATGTGTTTCCCAGAACTACTTGACTAAAGAGTCTTTTTTTTTTCTTTCATCAGTTTGGTGGCAAGACTAATATTTTCTGTCAGGAGGAATGCTACTGAAGGATGTGTCTGGGGGTGTGGGGTAGGAAATGGTGTATGTATAATGATGATGTGTGAAAGAATTGGTATCATCACTTGTAAAAAGGTTTATTTGAGGGCTATTTACTTATAAATTTATTTTAACACCACCATCTGTTAAAAACAACTTTAAGGCAGCTCAAAAAGAATGCTGAAGGTAAAGGATTCCTCCTGTGCATTTTGACTCCTTCCTATTAATGCCAGGCATCCCTGAGTCCCCACAGTGCTAATTTGTGTATTACTACCAGCAGACCTACACTATTTCTGAACAACAAAAAAGCAAGACCAGCAACCGAAGTAATCAATAACCAAACTTTAAGGTTCTTAGAGAAAGAGGGAGACAATGTACTACTTTTCCCTACTGATTGAAAATTAGTAAGACTTACTAGGGAGAGGTGGTTGAGTGAGAGTCTCCTTGTGTTTAAACCATGGTACAAAGGTTCCTGCATCCAAGATAGGCAGATGACCTTACCTCATGTAGGTGTGCTTTAGAGCTCAGGCAGGATGAAGCAGAATGAGGAAGACAGAATGAAATCACAAGATGACTAGACGGGGCTGGGGTGGGCAGGGATAGGAGCTCATGCTGAATCTGGCCCAAACATCTTAGAAATGAGGATTCTCCCCTCCTTGAAAAGGCCTGCTGTTTGGGGTCCCAGTAATTTTAGTTGCAGATGCTCTGAAGAACGCTAGTCAATTAAATTTTATGTATTTCACAACTCTTCCCTCCATATACAGATGTTCCTTCATTTACGATGGGGGTCACATACCAATAAACCCATCTTAAGTTGAAATTATATTTAATAACCTAACCTAGCCAACATCATAGCTTAGCCTAGCCTGCCTTAAATGCAATTAGAACACTTACATTAACTTACAGTTGGACAAAAGCATGTACTACAAAGCATATTTTGTAATAAAGTATTGAATATCTCATGTCATTTATTAAATACTGTACTTGAAATAAAAAGCAAAATGGTTCTATGGGTGCTTGAGATATAATTTCTACTACATGCCTATTGCTTCTGTACCACATTGAAGCTCCCAAAATGTAAGTTGAACTATTACAAGTCAGAGACCATATGTATTGACTCACAGTGTTCATTGCCAGATAATGGCAGCTTTGGGGAGCTAGAGGAAAGTCATCAACATTAAAAAATATTTGCATTTTCCTTCAGTTCTCAAAGGTAGAAAAGACAGTAGATATTTAATCTTGTGTATTCCCTTGAGAGAGGAGAGAAATAAGCAACAGAGAGGGGAAATGACACTATAAGGGGCAGAGGAAATACAAGCACAAAGGTCTCATTTGTATAATTTGACCACTGAATGGGAATATGAAATCCTCTGTACCAATCTGAAGTCCAAGTACAGTAAATAATAAAATAAACACACTTTAAAGTGTTCATGTTAATATAAATTGCTAGACTGTAGATTATCTGAGGACAGTAACCTTATCTACATTGTACAATGTTTATTCCAGTTGCTACTTCAGTTAATGGCACATGATGGATGCTCAATAAATACATGTTGAAAGATTATTCTTTGAATGAATATAAAGAGTTTATTCGGTGCGTATTTGGGTATACAACAACAGATATTAAACAACTTTTTTAAACTTTTTGTGCACAGGACAGAAAACTGCCTGTACATGCTATGTCCACTTTTGGAACACAGATTTAAACAATTATTAATGCACAAAATCTTACATATCATGCAACTCTATGCCAAGAACCCAACTTTCTTCCATGCAACAGATATGAAGATCTAAATGGAAACCTAGCTAATTCTTAAACACTTTTCCAGTAGCAAGTATAATATATGTTGTTGAGGGAAAACCAGTCTTAATATTTCCTTGTACACAATATTCATGTGCCAAATATGACAGAAGGACTCATACATATATAGATAAGACATCTCTTATTTTAACAACACAAAAGACAACATCACAGTTCCACAGTTCCTGTCTTTACACAAGAAGCCACACCAGTAGTTTAACATGATACACAAATGGAATTAAGAGAAATCTACACTTGATGATAATTTTTTAAGTTATTTTTACTGACAGGTTGACAGTACAACTCAATTTCTACTCACAAAGTACAGCACAGTAACTTGACCACAATGCTACAAATCTAAAAAAAAAAAAAGATTGGTAAAATCACAAGAACACTGTTACCTTGAGCCTGAGATGCCAATTCAGATTCAACCCTGAATTTGGTTAATTTGGATTAAGTGACACAAAAAGTCAATAGAACCACTGAATTTCAGAAATCATAAAGTTGCACTATGCCAAAGAAAATGTACACATGAATCAAGCGTAGATAGAAAACATTAAGCCAAGAAAACAACACAGTTCACATAATTTTGTTTGCCCCGACAAAACATTTAAGCAGTTAATTTTGTTACGTTATGTTTTGTTTTGTTTTTTGAAGAAAACTGTGGTCTTTTAAATTTTCTTGGTGGGAGAGCAAATTTTAATCAGCATTAGTGCTGTGAAATAGTTTTGGTTTGTGATCCCAAAAGTATAGGTGAGATCATGTGAAAATTTGGCAGTCCTTCTCCCAGACTTAGTTCACTGAAATGCTTGGCATTCTTTTGCACAAGCTCAATCTAAATAATGGGGCTTTCGTATGAATGATAAGAAAGTCTAATGGCAGATAGAATAGTGAACTCTGCCTGTTTGTTTCATAAATGTCACTGACAAACTTGAACTTTTGGGTGAAGGACTGCTAGAAGAATTCAACAGCACCTGGAGGTAAGGTTCTGTTACAGAGCCCTTGTTTTGCCCTCACTGGCTACGTTGATTCATTGTGGCTCATGGATTTGCCTCCATTCAGCACGCCAGAGACACTTCTGCTCTTGGTTGGGGTCCCGCTTCCAGATCGGGAGAACTCCGTGAGATCATGCAGTGATGGCTCCTTGTACATGGCCACTGAAAAGCACATAAAGATGGTATAAAAGGCCTTCAGTTGGGCACACCAATATATTGTATTCTTGAACATTTCTAAGAATAGTTTGTAGGTATTCTATTCTATACACCTAAATGATAAGTAGGTGAAGTAATGCATATGTTAATCAGCTTAACTTAGCTATTCCACAATGTATACATACTTCAAAATATCTTGTTGTTCATAATAGATATGTACAATTTTTATGTCAATTAAAAATTAAATTTAGAAAGAAAAAAAGAGAAAAAAATACATCAAAAAATGGGTATACCACACTGATCCTCAACTTTTCTTTTGGTTACTACACTTCTGTACCTTAAGCCGGATATGAAAACATTGCTTTCAAGGACTCAAAAGAGAGTGGACTGGATCAGATTAAGCAAAGATCTAGCCTTGGTGTAGTAGTGTGTAAAGAATTTTAATGCCTAACTTCTATTACTTACGGTTATATGAGAGGATTAATAAAAAATGCATTTAATAAAGCTCTTAGAAGTTTAAATATGATCTATAGCATACTGTGCAAGGCAAATATTAAAATTTAAAACATTTTAAAACACTGGTTTCTATCATTCTTTAAAATGAAACACTTTAAGACTCTAAGTATTAGATAGTTCTTGGTATAGTGAATGGTAACATTTATTATTGCTGTGCTATAAATAACCACACTAGTTTATAGTTATGCAACACTTATAACATGCTAAATACTGCTCTAAGTTCTTTGTATGTATTATCCCATTTAATCTCTGTGAGAATCTTATAAGTACTCTTATCCATATTATACAGATGAACTTGAGGCATACGCAGGTAAATAACCTGTTCAAGATCATCCATTACTAAAAAGTAAAGTTGGGCCTTGAATCTAGGCAGTCTGGCTCCAAAAAATGTGCTGTAAAACACCGCGCTGTGCTTATTTGAATTCCGCAGTGTCTGCCTCTACTCTAAACCCCTACTCTAACCCCAGGCTACTAACCTCTTTGAAGTCTTCCTTTGCCTTGCCTGCATTTTCTGTCTCTTCTCTACCACATCTCACTACTTCTTATATCACTATTTTCCATAGCCTATTCTTATCCCTCACCCTTACTATTGTGCTATTAATCTGTTAATGATGATGGGAAAACTATAAGCAAATGTTGCTGAAATAATATGTTAGGCCCTTAGAGAGGACCCAAGGAGCTTTCTGATAAGTGTTAAGTGTACACACATTTTTTACACCTATGTTTCTGCCCAAGCAACATTTTAGCATAATTTGGGGTTCTTGACTGTCCTGAGTTAGCAAGTAAGGTACTTCCACATGAGTAAAGTGTCACTATATGTACATGCACTATGGAAAAATTAAAATCAGGAGAGCAAATGTTTTTGAATGTAACGAAATGTAAGTTTTTTTAAAATAAATATCTGAATATGGAACAACTATTTCACTTTAGAAAGTGTGATGAAGGACTGCTTTAAATTACCATTTCTAAGTGTTCAACATCACTAATCATCAGGGAAATGCAAATTAAAACCACAAAGAGATACCACCTTACTGCTGTAAGACTGGCCATAATTAAAATGTCAAAAAACAACAGATGTTGGCATGGATGTGCTGAAAAGGGAGCACTTTAACACTGCTGGTGAGCATATAACTTAGAACAACCACTATGGAAAACAGTATGGAGAATTCTTAAAGAACTAAAAGTAGAACTACCATTGGATTTAGCAATCTCACTCCTGGGTATCTACTGAAAGGAAAATGAAACATTGTGTGAAAAAAGACACCTGTGAAAAAAAACAGGTATGTTTATAGCAGCAAAATTCACAATTGCAAAAATATGGAACCAATTTAAGTGCCCATCAATCAATGAGTGGCTTAAAAACATGTGGTATATATACACCATGGAATACTACTCAGCCATAAAAAGGAATGATATGATGTCTTTTGCAGCAGCATGGATGGAGCCGGAGGCCATTCTAAGTGACATAACTAAGGAATGGAAAACTAAATATTGTATGTTCTCACTTAAGTGGGAGCTAAGCTATGAGGACACAAAGGCATAAACATGATAAAATGGACTTTGGGGACTTGAGTAGGGGGAAAGTTTGGGAATGGGGTAAGGGATAAAACGTTACACATTGGATATAGTGTATACTGCTCGGGTGATGAGTGCACCAAAATTTCAGAAATTGCCACTAACTTACCTATGTAACCAAAAACCACCTGTACCCCCAAAACTATTGAAATTAAATAAATAAGTATATTTAGTAGCATAATCTATAGTTTCCACAATATCAAATTTACCTTTTAGTGGTTTGGGCAGAAAATGAGCTGCAGGCTTGTTCTTCTTCACATGGTTGCCTTTCATGATCTCTCCTTCTTTGTTCAGACCCAGATACCACCCTCGGCCTGACTGCTGCTGACGGTATATCATTGATGAATATGTCACGTAATAATTTTCAAACACTGATTCTTTGAATTTGCACTCAGGTGTGAAAAGTTCCTGCAACAAAAGTAAATAAAAGTTCAGTGTTTATATTATAGCTCTGAATTTCCTGTAGAATCATGTGGTATTGCCTTTTAGGAGGTTAAGACATGCTTTGTTAAAGCTTGTATGACTGGCGCTCTATTTTAATAGTCTAAACTATCATCATTGGAAATCAGCAGACTGTATATAACATTTCACATGATGTTTAGAAAAAGCCATAAGTGAAAGTGCTATTGATTAATGATTAGCTCTCTTTGTTATAGGTATTGGGAACATTAGAACAAGCCATGTAAGTGAAATATATTGGTTAAATACAAGAGCCAAGGATTGAAAAGACAATCATAAAACTGACATATGGAGCTTTGTTCTCTTCAGGATTCAATATGAGAAAATAAACATTCTGTCCTTGTACTTAATTTTCATGGAGTCTTGAATTATTATACACTAAGGTTGTCAACTGCCTCAGGCTGAAACCTGTGTTCCAATGCTGGCTGCCTATATTGTTACAAAGAAAGCCTACCTTTGACTTCTAGGTAAACCAAATTGATTTTTTTGGGGTCATTGGACCTTGGCTTGAGACAGAAAGAAAAATTCCCCCCTCACCCTATCCTTGCCTTACAGTAATATTTACATGCAAATCAATACAAAAGCAAGGAATTTACAGTAATTCTACCAGCAGACATAATAGAGCAGCCCAGTGGACTCTGAACTCAGGAATGTGGTTTTCTGCCATGCATTTGGCCATCTTTACGTTAGACTGCGAAGGCTCCTAGCCTCAATAGACCATTTTAAGGAAAAAATAAATAAATAAAAAACTTTTGTGTGTTTGAATATACGTGTGTGTGTCTATGTGTACAATAAGCAGCCATTAAAAATGATAATTTCAAAGCTAAATGAAATGAATAGCAGATTTGAATCTAGAAGTAAGCCATAGAGTAGCAAAGGGCCTACTTGGAGTGGAGGATTATCAGGAAAATGCTAACTGAGCTACATGTGATAGAGGCACCAATTAAACTATCAGATTTTTGCTAATTTCCTGAGATGTTATCAGGAAAAAAAAAATACTTGGTACTATCACCAAAAACATGTGTACAAATATTGCAAGCTTTCTGGGGCACCAGTCTTTTAAAAACAACGTGTCCATGGTTCTACCTTACTGCACTTTCATATTGGATACCATTCTAAGCAATACACACTAGCTGAGAAACAATATCTGAAGCACTCTAAGTCACTTCAGCAAGGAGGGGCATATTCCTCAGGCAAGGCAGCTTTTCCCTGAAATTTAAGCACTCAAGCAATTTCCTTTCCTTTTTTTCTGGGGTTCTACAAACACTGTTTCACACAGTAATCTGCCTAATCTCCCCCCACTTCCCCAATCTGGCTCTCAGAATGCAGGAATTGGAGTATCTTTTGGGTTATTTCAGCCTAGGGGCACACTTGATAGATCTTCAGAGGATTCACACAAATGCAACCTACTCAAGAAGCAATGTACTTCTAAGGCAACTGTCACATGTTAGAAACCAAAATGTTCTATTTATGGGCTGTGAAAACTCCTCTTTGTAGGATTTCTCAACATAAAGAAAGCCAAGAAAGTACAAATAAATTTGACTAGAAGTCTCCACATTTCTTTTAGTGATGAGGACAACTGCATAGAACGTTGCTAAAATTGTTTGAGAATTAAATCGGTGTATGGAAAAACACATCATCATTGGAGAATGGATTTTCCTTTCATAAAGAGTCAGAAACCATTTGAATATAAATCTGGTGAAAAATGCATATGATCAAGGCGAGTGATACCAAGTAGCCACATAAACAATGTATGGCTGACTCCAGGCTGGTGACATGGGATCATTGCATATTCTAAGGCAGGTCCCGAAAATGGGTTGCATTTAATGTCTTATGTAAGGGCAGCATTCATTCATTCATTTAGTATACATTTTCTAATGATCCATTAAGTACTTGGTTGGTCCTAAATATTCATAGGCAAGTAATATGTGGCCTCAGACAGCTTCTCACATATCTGTAGGCATCAAACATGTACCCAAATGGCATAGATACAATGTGTGCTACCATAATGAAAAAAGGAAGGTTTACAGTAGGTGCTGTATGAGAACAGAAAAAGCCAGACTTAAAACTGACTGAGGGACTAAGGAGGGATTCACCGAGAGGGTGTCATTTTAGCAGAGCTTTTCTACACAGAAAACAGGGAAGAATAATATTTGAAGCACAGAGCCACACTTCCTCTACTTTTCCTGTGTTCCCTGTCTTAGTAATTGGAATCAACCATCCTGGCAGTTGCTCACACTTAACACTTCAGAGGACCTTTCATTTTATTCCCATGCTCTCTAGTCTATGATCCATGACCTTCACCTTCCATTCCCATTGCCACTGCTCTAGTTTGCGCCTTATTACCTCTTCACTGGACTGCTGTCATAACCTCCTAACTGGTTTCTTCTCTTCAGCTGGCAGGTTTGCTTTCCTAAAGCAAAGTTCCCTTCCTTGGGAAATTTTGATGATTTCACCTTGCCTATAGTGAAAACAACAACTTGATGTAACATTGAAAAATTCTCTGCAATTCAGCCACTACCATGCCTTCCAGCATCATCTTCCAGTGTCATTCACCAAAGACCCATGTGTGCCTTCGTGTTTTACAGATGCCATTCATTTCCTTTGCTTAGAATGTCATTCCTTTGTTTATCTACCTACTGGCTTTCCTCTAATCCCTCAAGGCCTAGCTCAAATGTGACTGTTTCCAGAATCACATATAATCTCTCCCAATCAGAACTGATTGCACCTGTTATCTGTGTTCCCATAAACTCTACCTACATCTCTAGCATGGCCCTGTGACTCATATAACTGTATGATTACCTCCAGATAGTAGGGAACTTGTCTTACGTTTTTGCCCAATCTACTTTCCGCTCACAAAAATGACACGTTAGCACATGGCAGACCACTTGATTATTGTTTATATAATTTGAATTTCAGAGATTCTTATTTAAATATTGGAAATTCCAGGACTCAGAAGTATCAACTAGTAAAAAGTCTGCAGGGAGTTTCCTTAATACATATCAAGAAATCAGCTATATGTAAAATGAGGCTGTTACTGCATGGATATATTCTGCAAATGTGATTTAATATCTGTTAAGAATGACATGGTACCTACAATGTCAGGAGAAAAAAACTTGGCAATTGTTACAACTATTGGAAAATGGCAAGGAAGCACTCAATGAACTGAATGCTCTGTCACATCCTGGCAATTTCTTAGTCATCATCACTAAATTTGGATTCAAAAACTCAGTAGAAAGGGAGAAAAATGAGGCCAAAAAAAGAATATCGAAGCAACCAAAGGAGTGTTCTGTTCTCCGTGTATGACACTGTCATTTTATCCAGTGTTGAGTAGGCAGAAGAGGCTTGATTTTTATCAAATGTGGAAAAATATGAGCATCCCACCCAACACAAGGCAGGTCCACCAAAGGGTACAGTTTCACTTCTATGTCTCTGCAGTGATACATGTGAATAATAGAAATTGGATTTGCCCCAACCCAGGAAATCCCTGTTCAGAGGATACTAGGTAGACGTATGTCAAGAAACAAACCTACTTCAGTTAATCTGGAGATGCTCAATAGTGCACTGGAAGAAGATATCACAGTGGTCTTGACACATGGGAAGCACTAAATGAAGGCAGCAATCACTGTGTTCTGGATTTAACAGTCACTAGATAAATGTCTGCTATTGTAATTAATGCATGAATGAGTTAAAAAGATGTTATGAATTCCCTGCATAGTCACTGAGAAATTACTTGACATGAGTACCAAAGAAAAGATGCTTTAAGTCTTACAACCTTTTATGCGTTGATTTCCCTTAAAAGTTGTTTGCCACTCTTGCATATATGTTTTTTTCAGACAAATAAAAACTTTTTAGTTCATGAAATAATCTGTCTCTAATATCTTTCCTCTGTATAATCATGTCTATTCCCCTTGAAGTTCAACATTTGTTTCTTGTCAGTAAATATTAAACTTTTTATTTAAGAAATTCATATCAGTTAGTATCATTATAGTATAATGATAGCATTTTGAGTAAGGAATGAGGAATCTACATTTAGAGAATAACTGGATCAAGGAGCAAAATCTAATATTTCTTTTTGCCAACATACTTACATGATTGAGGAGGAAATAATTCTTCAAAGGTTCAAATATCACTGACAAACATAAAACATATTAAAACCTCCACACAGACTTTGAGAGGCAAGTGAATAATTCCTTAGTGTAACCAGTTATGTTGAATATACACAAATAACTGCAACATGTTTTCTGGGCGTGCCAAAAAACATCTTTTTCCTGGAACAAAGGCTCAGGAACAATATAAATTGTTATTCTCTGTCATAGTCAGAAGAAGCAACGGTGTCCTGGCTTGCCTCTGTCACGGAGGGCAAAGTATGGACAGAGTGTAGTATATCTTTGGCCTCCTGGAGCTGGAGCCAGGTCACAAGAAGCATGGGCTATGATGATGGCTTCCCTCAATGGAGCCAAGTAAGGGCTATGCCAGTCAGCAGATGGTGTGTAGCTGTATCCTCAGTAGCCATACCAAAATGACGAAAGCTAAAATATCTGTATAACATTTATGTTGTTTCAGCGTCTTAAACACATTCTCCAATACCAAAAGATACACACTAAGATTAAATGCCTTCCTGATTAAAATAAGTAATTTGGCAAACACGGGCCTTAATAACAGGTTTTTCATGCTTTTTCTTCCACCCTGTTCTTGTATTTTCAGCTATAGTGCAACTGATAGGGTGGCACCGTTTCATTTGTGTCTGTATCTCAGCAGGATGGGAGGCTTTGAGGATTGCCATGCAGACTGTAAATGTTTCCCTTTAACACATTTCTCTCAAAAACATATTTTTTTACATGGGCTGTACTGATTCCCTTAGATCCAGAGAGAGAGAGAGCAACAGAGTCTACTGAAGTTGTCCATACATAAAATGGCAACACTACATCCTCAGTCTGGCGAACAAA